ATTCATCTTATATCCTCCTTACTCTTATCCATATGAGCCTTTTGAGGGTGGATCCTGCAAACATGTATTACCAAACATTTGTTATTAGTATGAAAAGGACCCTACATAGTAGCATCTATTTGAGAGCAGTATACTAAGATATAACAAAGCCCAGTTTGTACATGACTCTCCTTTATGCAGAAGCCCAGAAAAGAGCAACAAACTTTAATAGAAACAAATAAGCACTCACAGATGAGAAGGATTTAGAATGATAATCTGTTCTGAACAATGCAATAAATCTATATAATATTATACACATAGTATACTGTAGTATTTTGATCAGCGTATACAGTATTACCAAAGAATATGCTCAGATGCCCGAGAATGCATGTACCAGTAATTTAAAGTTACAAAAAAATGAATAAAATAAGAACAAAAAAGCACTGTAAAACCAGTAACTTGAAGTTAGGTTCTACTGAATGAAGAAGGCAAGAAACAGTCCCCGACTCAGCATTATTTTGATCGTTGTGGAGCCTAAAATAATGTGTTAAAGTTAAGTCTGCATCTGAATGCTTTTATCAAGCTATATAACTGCCCATAGACTAATATTTTGTAAGGGTCTACACCCAGGGTCACTTTAAATTATAATTTTGAATACATTTTATCCTTATTTTGGAAATTAATTACTGAGAAAATCTTTTTTCAACCTCCATACTCTCTGTAGAACATCACTTAAATCTTGATGTTCCATTTAAATTTATCTATGAAGGAACTGCAGTATCTCTTGATTTTTATATTAACTTTTCATGCTGACTTGAAGTGAATACTGTCTTTCATTTACACCAAGAATTTAGATCCTTCCCAGGTGTCAGTAAATGAAGGCCTAAGGGCCTTCCTTATTAGGACTAAACATAAATTACATCAAAGTCTAAGTCCACTTAGCAGTTCTTTAGAGAAATTACAGAGTTCAGGCCTTCTTAGGTACTAATTTGTTGCATGTGGGCTATTTTTAATTTACTTGTGATTAGTATCCCCAACGTCTCTGTTACTACAATTCTAAGAGTATCACTTTGGAGGTTTGCATGCTAAGCACAATTAGCACTAAAAGAATATCATAGTTCTTATTCTGATATTGTCTCATATTGTGGCTGTCTTTTTGCAGCTATTCCTGGCTTTTCTCTTAAAATAAAATACTTTTCTGAAAAAAAGCTATAATCCTTTAATGTCTTCTGAATGCATGACTAACATTGTATTTTTACTGGAACTCATTTATGAAATAGTAGTCAAATGATAAATACAAACTATAATTCATGAGTGGTTCTTCAAATATTATAAAAAAAACTATATCAGAAAAACCTGAACAGTGTCGAAATTCCAGAATTATAAGATTCCTTTAGACTCATTTATGGAGTTGTCTGTATTTGAGTGGGTAATGCATAGTTGAGGTGACTGGGATGAGTCTTCCTCCTATTTTTATAATTTATTTGCACCAAGAGAGATAATTTTGGGGACCAGGTGAATTACTTATCATTAATTGTCATTGTACTATAAGCCAGGGTGTCATCCCACAGACCAGATGACTGGTGAGTGCCCTGCATGCTGAATTTGGCTCATAGGCCTGACCCTTGTCTTCCCACCCACCCCCTCCAATGCAAGATCCAGCACATGTGGTACTTGCTCCAGCCATGTGGGGCCAATCTGGGTCCTGTGCTCCATATAGCATCCTCCCCCGAGCAGCTGAGGGGGCTGCATACAGCATGGGTCCCAGAGTGCCCAGAGCGGGCATCACAAGTGGTATGTGTCCTGGACTGGCTCAAGAGGAACATCATGCAATGCATGTCCTAGGCTGGACAGGGCAGGTATAGTGCAGGCCTCAAGTAGGCCAGAGTGGGCACTGTGTAGTACACATCCTGGGACCTTTGCATGGGATTGGAGTGGTATGTGCCTCTTGCAGTGTGAGCAGCAAAAGAACAATTGTGCCTCGGACTGGGATCCTAGTGGGCTGAAGAGCCCAGGAAGGGCAAGACCAGGGCCCCTGGCCAAGGTCAGACACAGCGGACTTAGGCTGAGGAGTAACAGTCAGAGAATAGGAGTCAAAAGTGGGAAAGATGAAGCCCAGCAAAGGTTTGAGGCCCAAGAGACCAAATGTTATGGTGGGGTCAGGGAACCCCTCCAAAGTGATCAAATACCATCTGTGAGGTATGGGCATGGCTACTGGGGAGGACATAGGCCATGAATTTAGCCCTTAGGCCAATTAGGATCAGAGGGGTCTGAGCTATAAAGAAACACTGAGTCAGAGCCCCAAGTCATTTGGGCCAAGTCAAGCCCACAGAGGAGTGGAAAACTGGAAAGAGCATCCGGAGCTCACCAGCCTCTAGGGGCAGCCTCCTGTCTTTATTAATATTATCAAGGTATGGCAAGGTGAGGTATGAGGGTGGGACCCTGAGTGGCTGCAGTAACTGCAGGACAGAACTAAGGTAGCAATCAGGGGGTGCCCCAGCTGCCCTCGGAGCATGTTGTGTCACATGTTCCACAGGCTTGATCCAACCCACAGGCCATATCTTTGATATCCCTGCTATAAGTAATCATAAATAATTGGCACAGTGTTATAGACTCTTCGTTCTGGTCAGTGCTAAGACTTATTCAGTTCTTTGCCACCCTGTTCAATCAAGCTCTATTTTGGGGTTGTACCCTATGGCCTTTTGTGAATGTAGTCACGTGTTATAAATACTGTGTACCTGATACTGTAGAATATCAAACATACAAGCCCTGGAAATAGACATCATCTTCTCTCAAACTGGAACTGGAAAGAGAAGGTTTTTCTTTCTATCAGAGCATTATACAAGTTAAATTATAGCCACCTAGTCAATACAGAATTCTAATTCTTTACTCTTGGGTCTCCAATGAATTGTATAATCACCATTTATTAGACATAACAAAATCATTTGAGTGAATTATGGCCAAGCATACATTTGGTGGTTATTTGGTATCCTCGGGGCTTTCCTCCTAGTTTCAATGAAGATTTCTACTTATATAAGTCATCAGTGTAAGAAGGATGCTTTAAAATGCATTTATTAAAGTAATAATGTACATTCTGGTTGAAACACTTCAGAGTTCTTACTCCTGGGAACACCAGCTCTCAGAAAATTAGTAAGTGGGAAGCAATGACAACTTTGATAGAAAATTGGACTGCTCCACCTTTGTTAGTAAATTGAAGTAAATCAGGTCTCAGTGGTCTAAGCTGTGTGCGCACTTCTTTAGTACATTCTGAAGTAGCTGTTTTATTTAGCTGTATATGCCGTTATATGAATTATCTGTGTTAACATGAGGGCCTGGGATTTTTCTATATGTGTATTTCAGCCTTGATTCAAGAACGTATGCTTAAAGAAGCACTTAACGTTTATTAGTTATGGTATTTAAGTGTGTACTTAACAGTAAGCACAACTTACAGAGGGTTTTCCTAAAACTGAATGAATTTGAACATGAATGTCAATGTTTTCTTGAGTTCTGAAGAGCTGTTGACCTAGATAATAACTCCAACTCTGGTGAAACAAGACTTGAACAAAATAGCACAAGTATGACGGCTATGATAAATGTGTACAAATTACTTGTACCCTTTATGATAAAATAAAATTGTAGTAAAATTTGGGAGATTTTATGGAATAAGTAATTTAAAGCAAGAAAAACAAAATAGCAATCAATGGTGCATTACAGAAAAGATCACATCACCTACAGTTACAATGTGGACTTAAAAGAGGATGTTGTCATTATAATTCATGGAATATTTGAATATGCAACACCTGAAACAAAATTCAGCCTATTACTTAAGCATGTACCCTGGTCCAGCAATATTCAAGAAAGTGTTTAATGAAATTTAAGAATATGAGCAAAAAGTAAATAGGATTTGAGCATCTGCTTAAAGGAAACCAGGTCCTTAAAATATTTCTCTAATATTGGAATTGTTTCCCATATTACTTTATGAAAGTTATATTTCAAGTGAAGAGACCAGCCCATAGAGCAGAATGGGAACATGAATCACCTTGGTGGTATTTCAGATCCAGATTTTTTATTAGCATTTATAGACAAAAGATGATTTCTTTAAATGGGATACACTTTTTAAACACGAACCAGTTTTGTCAGGAAAAGAGAATTTCTTGGAAAAAGAATTTTAGTGAAAATTTTCAATCTATGTATTTAAGATTATTTGTAGATATCCTCCTCTAAGGTATTATACTGAATAAATTATTTCTCATTTTAGATACAGTTTACTAAATAAGCCATTTTAAATTTCCTTTTAAGCAGTTTTGCTCTTTTTAATCAACAGGTATATTGATCATAAATGTGAAGTGGGTGGGAAGGTGGAGAGACAGTTCCCAAACATATGCCAAAAGTCACTGTTTTTAGTGTTCTACTTGACTTCCCGCCTCTGGTCTAAGTCTGTATTCAGGTGCTAGTGATGTACTACTAGTATAGAAGTCTTTTATGCCCATTTGCACTCTGCTGTTCTCTTTGGTGTTGGTTTCATAAACAGAAGTCAGAATCTTGCATGTCTTCTCAACTTCCTGACAGTGCTTAATTTGAAATTCAGACAGGGTGAAATAAATTTAATCTATTTAGGTTTCTTATCCTCTTTGTCAGGATAATCCCTTAACCTGCTATATTTCCATGATGAAACATTAAGGAAATAAGTATTTTTTATATTTTATTTTTAACCTCCTATTTTTAAGAAAAGAACATTTATTTCTGGAGCCTGACTTATTGTTTATCTTTCATGTCAAAGGAAAGTCCATGATTGTGGGTTGTTTCTATTTGTTAGCATACGTATACAATTACAGAACTTCTTTAAAAAAAACAAAACAAAACAAAACAAAACACTGAAATTCTTTATAAAACATGCTAATTAAATACTAATATGCATGGTTCAGGGGAAAAAAATCGCTCTATGCAAGAATGTTTCTTTCTATCTATACACTGATTCCAATTTTTCTGTCTGACATATTCTGTTTGTTTGGATCCAACAGGCCAGAACCAGTATTGTGGACAAAGGATGGAGGAGAGCTACCAGATCCAGAACGAATGGTTGTCAGTGGTAGGGATCTAAGCATTAGTTTCCTAAACAAAACGGACAATGGTACATATCGATGTGAAGCAACAAACCCTATTGGCCAAAACAGCACAGAGTATGTCCTGATTGTACATGGTGAGTACATCCCTTTAAATATTGTAAATGAGGAAATACCTTGTTGAAATAAAGTATTCATATTGTTTCAACCAACTAATTGCAACTGTTTCAAAACAAATGGAAGAATGACAAGAAACAAATTCAAGTATAATTATGCTTTAGCCAGCATCATCTATCTACATATTTAGTTGTAGGAATCAGGTCTCCTTTCTTTTATGAGATGGTTTCTGTGTTAATAAGTTCAGTAAGAAAATGTATCTAAATGTGTGGAGAACACCTTGTTAAGTAAGCAACTGGAAAAAGAAATGTATTTCACACTATACTTGGAACTGGTTTACACATAATTGCTTCAAGAGCACTCTGTTCAGATATAACTGTTTGCAGAAGGATTGTAAGTCATATATTAAGCAAAATTTAAACATCCCAGACAGTAATGCTATTTCTTTCTATTTCTGTTCTCTCCATTCTATTCAAGATGGTATATTTTTCTTCCCACAGTTTAAAGCCTAATAATAAATATTCTCAGTTATTTATGCAAGGTGATTGGAGAGATGCCGGGGAATCAGGCCTTACATTAAAATTATGTCTAGGAACCTTATTTCATAATACTTTTAGTTATAAAATGGAAAAATTCTCACTGATTTAGGATTGTTTTGACTAATCTGTTTTGATGCATTGTTTGAAGAATAAGGCACTTGTGATGAACTTTGAATAGCTTGATGCAACAAAAGTACAGTAGACGCTATAATGGCACCTGCTAGGGAGGGGTGGGTGATTTCTACAGCTTAGAACTGAAAACAGGTCTTCAGAGAGAAGGATGAGTGCATTAGCTTTGTTGCATCACCTACTACAATATCTTTTTACCTTGCTCTTAAAATATTACAGATTTTTCAGAACTACCAAACATAAAATAAAAATGCCAATGTGGGTCCTATAGTCACTGAAATGAAAAATAACTGTCCCATTTTTAAAAGTAATTCACATAGAACAAATGGATGAGTTTCTCTGGTGTTTGCAAGATAGCCAACAGCATCATTCACTAAGGATTCAAGTTACCTTTAGGTGGCAGTTTAATGTGTTTTTAATAAATACTTCTCTAAGCTTTTTGTGATTAGTCAGTTTTGGCTCTGTTGTTGAACTGCAATTTGTCAAAAGCACCATTTAGATTAATACTGTTCATGCTGCTGAAGTTCATCATTACTTTATTTAAGATTAGTGACACAAGTAATGATGGGCTCTTTGGAACACTCTCCTACTCAATGTGGACTCTCTCATATGCACCAAAACTATTTTCCCTTTAAAAGCTAGAGGCAATGTTTTATTAGATGCTGACTGCATTGCCGAATCACTGATGTCTCCCTTTGATGGAGTAAGTGTTTCCACTAATAGCAAATGCTGAAATGTAAGTGGCCTGTGTATTTTGTCAGAGTTTTTTTGTGATAATTTGTGATAGCGTGACCCTTTTTATCTCTTTTATCATGATGGCTTTTATGTTAGCCATAACTGTACAATATACTTATATCAGAGAATGTTTCATAAGCTGCCTTGTGTCTTTCAATTTCAGTCAGTTGAACCCTATTGATCTGAGTACCTTGAAACAACTTGATGGCAATCTCTGAAATCTGTGTGTGGCATCATAGTTGGCATGTTATCCAGTTTAACTTCAACACTACCAACATTTTATGTTACAAATGTGGGAGCCTCCCCTCCCCACTGTGTATTCCTACACATCTAGAATTAGAACTGCAGACATCTGACACATACTCCTTATATTTAAGTAACATGGCAAGTTAAATGATAGACCTTATAGTATTGCTCAGTATATATGTGGTTGCATACCGGATTCATAAAGGGTGCACTATGTAAGAATGGTAAATCGGGTGCAGTATAATAGTTCATGCAGATCAACTTGGGCACCTTCCTGTCACTCTTTTCGATCATTGCATAGCATCCACTAGTTCATGAAGAACTTTTCAGTCTGAAAAATTACGAAATATAGTCAGATTATTTTTTAGTCAGGTTCCCTCCCTCAGTAAAGGATTTATTTTTATTTTCCTAAATATATTTGTAGCACTCTCTGCTGTCCCTTCTCATCTACTCTGGTGGTTCATGTGATAAAAGGGGGTGGAGGTAATCATTCCTCCCTCCCTTCTTCTCTCCCTCTTTTTCCACCACCATTCTCACTTCAGTTACATTGGACTTAACATGATATAACCAAACGTTCTGGCCTCTCTCTTTTATTCCTTATGTGCATAGGTTTAACATGAGAACAACCAAAGTCACACTGAGGAAGAGTTTTGGGGGGAGGTGGAGAATCTCCATTAGGAAATCCTCATGGTGATTTTCCTATACCGTATTGTCTGGTCAAGGATGTAAAGAAAGAGTAAACTTAACTTTGGAAAATCACAAAGAGTGAAGTAGAGATTCTGGCTCCACAATCACTCCCCACTCCAGTTCCTGTGAGTGTGACTCTACAGGAGCCAACCTACCATTAACTTTGCCAAGAACCTCTAGAATCACAGGAGGTTGGGAGGATTGTGTTGCTCATCAATAAAAGGTAGTACAACTATTAAAACTATGTATTATCTTTTCTAGGTGAGCTTTGTAGGGCTGTTCATCATATCTATCAATCTTTCCACCCTTCTGATTCTTCTAGTCTATATACCTACCCTCAGCATGACTCTGATAGGAGAAGGATGCCACTAAGGCAAGATGGTCAAATGGTGCCATTCAGTCACCTGAGGCCCTTTACATTAATAGCAGATCTCCTCTGCCCAAAGAAGTGGGGTATGGGGAGCATGATTTAGGTCATAATATTTTATAATTCGTTTTAATTTTTATCCATACTGGATTATTTTTCTCTTTATTCATCCTTTTTTTTTCTTTTAATGCAATTTCTTGTCTCTCTGTTCTATTATCAAGCCCCTAAGAGTCACTCATCCTCTTTGTATTCTTTTTTCTGTGAACTCCCCTCTCAGAGGAACTCTATCTACTAATTCCCTCTATTTCCAAAGTTATCTTCATAACTCAGAGGAGATTTAGGCAGCTTTAGCACGGGGAAAGCTTGCCTAAAATGAAAATGTGTAGTTTATCATAATTGGAGATTAAGGGTAAGCAAAGTATTTATACATATTAATTGTACAAACAAAGCAAGGAGCATGTGATGCTTTTAATTGGGCCAACCTAGACATAAAATTTATAGAAAAGTGATAATTTGTTCCCACTGTAAATCAAGATAAAGTAATACAGTGTTGATGTTAGCTGACGATAGTGGAAATAAATATAGCTATAACCAAATGAATGGCAATCTGTCTAATAATATAAAGAAGCCTATGTTTTCAGTGTAATTAAAGGAAGTTGACTTTTAACAAAAATCATGTATTTATTTTAAGTTAAAGGAATCTACTATTAAATGTGTCCATGGTAATTTGCTGAATCAGTGCAGCTGATTTTTTATATTTCTTAGCTTTTATTATGAATAATAAACATCAAGAAAAAAGTGTACCAGGAAAGTGTGCACAAAATCAGTATTTTGTAGAAGTATTTGTAGATAGCAGTACAAAGAGAAGTTATATTGTAAAAGTATTTCTGGATGGCAGTACAAAGAGAAGTTATTCTGTCCATGCATACATGGATCTTATACAGTAATGAAGGTACAAATTCCAATATCTGTAGCTGTCATTTCTGTATTTTAACTGGCTGCCTTGATGCACATTCTGGTTAGATGTATTATTATAAATCTTGGTGATGGGCTCCCGGGCAGAACAATTTGTATTTTCTCTGTCCTTTTTAAAATTTTTTGTTCACATATGTCCAAACACCAGCCATTAGTCATCAGTGTGCAGAACAAATTGTCAAAAACGTATGTTCTACTTGGGAACCTAAAGTAAAGATTCATTGATTTATATGAAGTTGAAAAATGGATTGTTCTGTCCTAATCAAGCTGAAGACACGGCTGTCATATATGGAAAAATCAGTTCATCGCTTCTTGCTGCAACGGCACCACTACTGAACATTCAGTTTGTTCTTAAGTTCAGCGAGTGACAGAAGTTCAAGTTAATAGGAGAGCACCCCTCTAATGCAGAGCAACAAAATTTGGACAAAGATCACTTTTAAAGTGCTATCTTAAAATAACTGATCAGATGGAATATCAGATGACATGCTAAAGCCATACATTAAATTCACTGAAACAATGACTGTGTCAGGTATCATTGATGGTAGAAGTAGTAGAAGAGCTTGTCCCAGTCATTTGAGAGCTTTCATTTGATGAACATATTCTTTTGATTCACATCACTCCTCAGAACCCTGTACATTTTCCTGGGGCAGACTATTTGATCCTAGCAATCACATAAGTGTATAACCCAAGACCTTTCATTAACATGTAAAAATATATCTTCTTAACTTTGCTGCTTAAGCAGTCTCCTTTTACTGTTTTTTGCCACATCCTTGACAATTCCATTATCCTTCTTTCTGTGCAAATCTGCATTTTGATGCCTGCCTTTCTTCCCTCAGCATAATATTTGCCACTGATTCAGTTATATACCAAAGCCCATCACACTTCCTGCTCTAATGTTTGTAAATTCTGCTCCTGCTGTCCTTTGATAAAATCTTGGTTTACCCCATGGTTATTTTTTTTCATTTTGTATTATCATAAGCCCTTCTTCTCTGCCCTCTCTAGTTAAAGTTCAGTTATTGTCATGCTGTTCCAAACAAATTTAGCCTTACCTCAGATTATTTCATGAGTTTGCATATCAGGTCCAAAATTCTCATCTTCACCTTTAAGACATTTCACAATTCTGCACCTGTACCCTCCTGCTCTTCTTTCAGGCCCTTCTCCTCTTATGACTTTTCTCACCTTGTGTATGTACAAGTCTTACATATAAATCAACCTATCCGAGGTTAGCTTGATCTAAATGCCTGCTTGTGCCGGCATTTGCAGGGATTAAGTCAGTCAAAAATTGGCACACCCAATGTAAGCCATTTCACCTCAGGAGGTGAAATAATTTAGGGCAAGAAAG